ATCCGCGTCGTAGTGTGTGTCAACCCTTCCTTCCTTCCTTCCTTTTGTTTTTAATTCTTCCGGTAGAATACACGTAACACGAAATACACAGAGCAGTGGTATTCAGTATCTGTGCTTTTGTCTCTGGAACCAACATCCTCCCAAACTGAAACCCCAGCCTCAGTACACACCAACTCCCCCGCTCCCCAGCAGCCCCATCCCACTTACTGTTTCTGTGAATGTGACAACTCCAGGGACCTCACGTAAGTGGAGTCACACAGTGTGTGTCCTTGTGTGTGTGGCTCATTTCTCTGAGCACAGTGCCCTCAAGGTTCACCCGTGTTGTAGCAGGTGTCAGTTTCCTTCCTTGCAAGGCTGAGTCATGTTCCACTGCACGGACAGACCACTGTGTCTGTCCGTCCGTCTTCCACAGATTAGCTGTTGTGAATAATGCCGCTGTGGACAGGCGCACACATATCCCTCGAGACCTGCTTTCTGTTCTGGGTGTTGACCCAGAAGTGGAATTGCTGGATCGTTGCTAACCCTACCATCGTTTTTAAAGAACTGCCCTAGCGTTTCCATGGCTCCCGCTCTGTTTTACGCTCCCACCGGCAGTGCCCAGGGCTCGCGTCCCTCCGTGTCCTTGTGCACACACGCTGTTTGCTGTGTTTTTGACAGTGGCCATCCTGACGGGTGTGAGGCGAATACCTCATTGACGTTTTGATTTGCGTTTCCCTGGTGATCAGTGAGGTTGTGCGTCTTCTCACGTGTTATTGGCCATTTGTGTGTCTTTGGGGAAATGTCTGTTGAAGTCCTTTGCCCATTTTTGGATCAGGTTGTTTTTTTCTTGATGAGGTTTACGAGTTCTCTATCAATTCTGGGTATTAATCCCTTGTCAGGGATACGATTTGCACGTATTTCTCCTGTTCTGTGGGTTGCCTTGTAACTCTGTGCCTTTGGTGTACAAAACATTTTCATGTTCATGAACTCCAACTTACCTATCTTTTCTTTTGTTGCCTGCGTATTTGGTGTCATATCTAAGAAATCACGGCCAGATCCAATGTTGTGAAGCTTTTGCCTTGTGTTTTATTCTAAGAGTTTATAGTTTTAGGTTTTACGTTTAGGTCGTAGTTGCATTTTGTGATAATTTTTTGTATTTGGTGTGAGGTAAGGGTTCAACCTCATTCTTCTGTGTGTGGATATCCAGTTTTTTCAGAACCATTTGCTGGAAGACTGTCCTTTCCCCCTCAGATGGTCTTGGCTCCCTGGTTGAGATCGTCTGACCATGTGTGTGAAGGTTTATTTCTGGGTCGTTTATTTCATTGATTAATATGTCTGTCTTTATACCAGCACCTCTTTTAGTGCTGCAGCTTTGTAGCGAGTTTTGACATCAAAAGTGTGTGTCCTCTGGCTTTGTTTTTCTTTTTCAAGATTGTTTTGGCTGTTCTGGGTCCCTTGAGATTCCATATGAATTTAGGGTGGGCTTTTCTATTTCTACAAAAAACGTTATTGGGATGTTGACAGGGTTGGTATTGAATCTGTAGGTTGCTTTGGGTAGTATTGACATCATAACAA